TATACATACAGTATATTCATTGTATAAAAATAGTGTGGTCACAAGCCATTTCTTCTTTGTTTTACTGATAAGGCATCCTGAAAAATCAAGGGGGAGTGACTAAAACATGGAATAAATAAAGAAGCTCGGGGTTTCCGTGACCAGATAGTGGGGGTGTTCTGCATAGTGTCCTGGTCCGTACTGTGGGCTTCCAGCTGATGGTTTAAAATCGTTAAAGTCTTGGACTGCCTATGACTTTGGGGGCTGGTGCCGAGCTATATTGGGGTCTCTTACTTGTTTTCTCTTCCTGCAGTCGACCCTCCATCTAAGGGCTTTTGGGGTTCAGCTGAAAATTAATTCAAGACACAGTTATTGGCTCAAAACCGCAACAAATCAAGGGGAAGTGTTCAGGAACAACTTAGAATTGTTTATTAATTACCCAAAACCAACAAGTGGTTTCAACAAATCAAAGAGTGGAGCCTCTTCCCACTGCTGGAGATTGTTCTTAAATAAACTTCACTGGAGACATTGGTCAGCTCCTAATCACCTGAGGAACCTGAAACACACTTGCCCAACCCAGGGAAAAGGGCCTGAGGTCATAAAAACACATATTCTTAGTGCTGCAACACTTTCAAAGATCTCATAATATCATGAGATTGTGCAAAGCAGCTATAAGTGTCAGTAAAAAACAAAAACAAAAACAAAAAAACAGTTCCTTCAAGGAATGCCAGGTCTTTATTTTTAAATTCTTTCAACTTGTCTGTCTTTTTGTAACTGGGATGACTCCTCTTGTGAAATTGTGCCATTAGAAATGTTGGCTGCAAATATTGTTTGAAGGAAAGGTTCTTTAACCTGAAGCCAAGAGGAAATCGAATGAAGAACAAAAGCAAAATCAAACCAAACACTTTGATCTTTTTTTATTTTCCATCACAAAGCAAACTGACTTTTTTTGAAAATCCATGAGACCTACGAAGGCTTCTTTGTTGAAAAATAATCTTGTGACTTGTCCTCTCTCCTCAGAAATGATTGCTTTGACAGATGTTGCCTCCGACTTTAGGTTCAGTTGGATAAATTTCTATCACAGGAAGAGGGGACGAACAGAAAGAGAGTTAACCTGGGCGTCCATCATCTTTTGTCCGAGTGCTGAGAGGAGGTTGGATACTGACCTGAGGGTTGCCATCTTCATGACGACTCCGTCGTGGTATGGCACCACCCTCCCAGAGTAAAATGTTTTCTATAATATCACTGTGCGGTTAATGTGAAAGCTCACTGGTTTAGGGTAGTCAAATATTTGTCCTTCAGTCTGTTTCCCATTCCCAGTGAGGCGCATTAAGTGATACAGTTGTTGTAAATTATTCATTTTACAATCCAGCAGCTAAAGTTCGCCCATTCGCTCCAGAATCTGGTTCTTTTTCTTTTCCTTCGTGTGTCCTGTTGTTATAGGCAGTCCCTGCAAAGTGCCACCTGTCCACGTCGGTAGTCCCTGCAGGGGCAGACACGTCTGTATTTAGGGGAGTGCCCTGCGCAGCTGAAGAGCAAGGGTTCCCGCTGGAGGCCGCACTCCCGCCGCAGCACGGAGAAGGCTGGGAGGATGTGGTTGATCTCTGAATCGACCACTTCACACTGCACCTCCAACCTGAGAGAAAAGAAAATAAAAGTAGTCTTATCAACTCTAAATTTTTTACAAAGGAAAAAATTAGAGTAGAACAAAAATCAGATGGGTAAAGAGATGCCCGTAAGAAAATAACTAAATAAACTAACAAGGCAGATGTGTAAAAGTGTGACAGGGATTTAAAAAAAGAAAAGAAACAGTTTAAAAAATCTGAAAATTAAATTCCACACTGTTCTCCACTTACAAAAAAACCCTTAACACTCTTGTGTTTGCTAACGACCGATGGTCTCATTAATACCTGAGGTTTATAGGTTTAACAGAGTTGACAAATCATTTTGTGTTTGCCACAGTAGCTCATGGTGTGGGAGTGCTCATATCCACGGCATTAGCTCAGATCCGTCTGGTAATGGAGTGCTTTAATAAAACAAGTGTGCTTGTTCAGCCAAAAGAAAAAAAATAAAATAAAACAATCTGGCTGGTTGCAGTTTCGTGATATTACTTTTCAGCACTTGGGCCCGACCTACCCCCGCAGAGACTCCTTGTTGTTGATGAAGCGGAAGTGAGCGGGCTCGCAGATGAAACCAGCGGAGTGGCAGGCGTCCACGCAGGACTGGCCCTCCTGAGACACGAGCAGTCGGAGGGAGCTGAGAGGAGGCCAGGCGGTGGGAGCCGTCACGTTGGACGTCCAGCCGAGGGCGGTCGAGTTGGGAATCGGCACAAACAGTGGACCGTTCGGCCGCACGGCAGCTGCTGATCCTTGTCTGGAGAAGTTGGTTGGAACAAAAGGAGGCTCTGGCACACAGAAGTCCTACAGAAAGACATGATAGAATTAGTTTGTGTGTCTTTTGTTTTCTTTACAAACAGGATTTTGTGCATAAAAATATCGACAGCTTTTTTTAAAAACACAATTATGCTCACTTCTTGTATTTTGACTTGCATCTAAACCAGCCTGAATTAAATGACATAAAGTTTGACCTAAACACAAGCAGGGGATTAGCGACAGTTTCAGACTGTGGTAAAAGATGCCCTCAGGCTTTGTTATTGATCCTAATATGGGTTTTTCCACTACAGAGGTTCTAAGACAAGACCAGGATTAATACCAGAGCTGATTCCTAACTGGTTCTTATAAAATAAAGCTAAAAACAAGTTTGTTTTTCATAAAACGGGAGGATATTCTCCAAAGCGCAACATTATAGCACATTACCATGAATGACTGATCCTCCCACTGTTGCATTTTGCATTTCTCCTTCGCACATAAATCTGGCGTTACATGACCTTTCTTTAAAGCAGAAGCAGAAGAGCATCAAACTAATGAACAAAAAGTAGAAAAATCTGTGCGATTTGGGGAAACACGCTCGTGTTTGTGCAGCATTATGTCTAAAACTTAGAACTCAAGATCTTCTACAACTTGCAAAAACAGATGTTTTTCATTAAAACATTACATCTGATTCACTGACAGATATCAGAGAGCCGCAACAAAAAGCTTCTTTTGTAGACAAGCTACAGTTTCACTAAATTATGTCTCTTTTTATAAACAGTATGAACAAAAAATGTAACTGAAATGTGTCCCCATCTCTGTGTCCATACCAGATGTTTGACTGTGGGGAACAAAAAAATAAATAAATAAAAAATAAAAAAATGGGAGATTTTTGTCTGACTGTATAAAAAAATAGGAAGAAATTATCCTCTATTATCATAATTATCATCATCCTCCACTTCTAGTTGCTCAACCCTCCTCATTAGTGTCAGAGGGCTTTCTGCTTTAGAGCCAGAGAGCAGAAATGTGTCTCATTACGAGCGTTAGCATGTAGATCACTTTGAGCTAACGTACATGAAGCTCACAGACTAAATTACACAATATCTGCGTGTGGAGTCGTGAAGCAGGGTGGGTCACTGAGAGCTTTTGAAAAGCCTAAAATGTGTGACATAATGTGGACTTGTTGGTTGGTTTGGTGCTCTGTGGAGGCGTGCGCTCACCTGATTCTGCACGTAGGCATGAACTCTCTCCAGCATCCCTTCACAMGTGTACTCGTAAGGCAGGAAAGGCTCAACCTGAAAATCCCAAACAAGAACAGGAGAACATCCAATAATTGCTGTAACATTTTGCTTACCTTAAAGCACATATTTGTTCTGTGTCKTTCACGTTAATTGCAATAAATTGCCTCTTTCTTGATAATTCCAGCAGACGAACATTTTCATTGTCAGCTTTTGYGAAGCCCAATTACAGTGTGTCAGTGCTTGGCAATTCATTAGGGTTTATTTGCATACCAATAGATGACTGCCTGCTGTGATGTGTGAGTTTTATAACTAAATACCACTTTTGATTGGCCTAATTAGTCGTTTGCTTGAAAGACTGTGTATGTGTTTTGTTCCTCGCTGATCGTAACATGCWCAAAACATGACAGACACAAAGCTGAAGGAAGGTAAGATGACTAAGATGGCAAAGATAAGGTTGATAAAACCTGAATTAGCTGTTTAAAACAACTCCACTTCAYAGTTAATAGGAAACATTTCAAACTGCACTGTGTGTACAAACACATAACTGCATATTATACTAATAAAGCATAGCATAGCATAGCATTGCCTTTTACCCCAAAAGCTAGGAAAAACATGGTGCAAAAGCTCCTTTGAAACCATATTTGGAGAAATCCCGAATTCAAGTGACTGTCCTTTGTAAATGATAGGTGACAGTAAATTGAATTTCCAATCGGAAAAAAATAAATAAAACAGCCCAATGCTCAGCCATGTGTGAAATAAAGCTAGGCTCATCTCACATCAAAAGTGCTGAGAAGCAAGTGTGCTGTGATAATGCAATTTAAAAAGTTACACACACTGGAGATCTGATCAAAGCCACAGTTAATCTACACTGTAGGCTGAAGCAGAAAGTAAACATTTGGATGAGAAGGAAACATGAGTTTCTGGGAAAAGAGAAAAAAGAAAAAAAATCTTTGCGCACAAATCTTCTTTAAATCAGGTTGTCTCTTTATTTACACAGACAGGATGACTGAATATTGTTGGAGGAAGGATGAAAAGTGGGGAAAATATAAAGAAGGAATAAACTAATGGAAGAAAGTTGAAGTTTAGAAGACAGGAAGGAAAAGAACAAACAAATGAAAGAAGGCAAGAAAGAAAGAAAGAAAGAAAGAAAGAAAGAAAGAAAGAAAGAAAGAAAGAAAGAAAGAAAGAAAGAAAGAAAGAAAG